GTTCTCTACATCGTCCGAGTGGCTCCCTGTGCCATCTTTTGCACTGTAGGGGCCGTCCCCTATATCTAAGGGTTCGGAAACACCGTCAATCTGCACCCTTTCAAAAGAAAAACAAGGTCTCGGCTTTCTACTATCGATGCGCTTTGGGTGATGGAGCCAAAAGGAGGTTGGAGATGATCAATAGGCGGAGAAATTGAAAGAGTAACCAGAACTTGGGTACCTAGTCAGCGGGGGTATGAGTGAACGCCGTGACGTGCGGATCCCATCATGCCTGATGGGCACCCACACTTGACATTTCGGAGATGCAGTGAGTAGGTTTCTTTTTTTTTTTTTTTTTTTGGAGGCTTAGTGTGGCTGCAAAGGTATGCTGACTATCATCTGCCTATTCCTGGACCTCTCAGGCGTCTGTGATGATGTCTACTGTGCCGCTGAGAGGCGCCGGCTGAAGCCAAGGCTACGAAGCGTGTGTAACATTCAACGGTTACGCGAGATCTGGAGCGCCGTGAATGTGCAACACGGCTAGTCCGAATTTATCGATGTGGGGGTCGGTCTGACAAATGGGCGTTGCCATGCGCAATGTCATGCTTATGACCAACGGCAATTAGGAGGAGATGGTGAGAGCGAGAAGAGTATCTTCAATGGCCTGTAAGTGAGAAGAAAATCCAGGACGTTGGATTTTCTCGGCCTAGCATGCGGCTCTGCAATTTCTCAGGTGTGACCAGAGTGATCGGATGAAAGATAATTCACTGAGTGGCCTATTAGAGAAGAGTTGACGTGGCAGTGTTGTATATCATCAATTGCAAGAAGTCCGGGGCGGCACACAGATGTGGTTACACCGACGGGGGTTCAGACAAGCAATGACAACAACCAATTACACGCGGATGATTGGACGGACTTGCTTGCCGTCCACCGGCTTCAATGTTCACCTAGTGACTACCAGACGCGAGGTGCGCCTGCGTATACGGCATTGAAGACGCAGGATACTTGCCTACAGCTTGCACCTCGGTATTGTCCTTCGAACAATTTCGGCCCCTAAAGAGGAAGTCCTTGTCCAGAAGTCGACTCGCCACATTGCACCAGAAGGATATGGCAAGGGCCGTGGATTGAGGCTCTGCTGTGCACGGTACCCAAATCTGACGAAACAAAAACCCCCACTCCGGGTCCGGCCCGTTCTGCGACCTGTTCCATATACGAATAAGAGGCGTCATTGCACGACCGGCGGCCAATCAGGTAGCAGCGCATTTCGACCACTCAGGAAAAGACTGACTTGTGGTCCACGATTGGAAGGTGTTTCGATGCATTTGGTGGGGCAGGCCAAGCGGAGTATTTGGTCAGCGGGCTGAGTCGATGTGATGGGTCGGTATGGCTGGAATTGGCTGCTCGTGCTGACCGAGTGCCAGTACATGGCCGGGGAGACAGTCCCCCAGTTATCCTCTGGCGGTTGGTCGGGCCCGATTGCTGGAGTAAGCCCAATGCAAGGCCGGTCGACCAGGTGTCCCACTGCCGTCTCGTATTGTTGGTCCGCCAGTTCCCTTGGATGCATACTGCAGTAGGGCGCGGGGTAGCATCGCTCATCTAGGTATGATTGATGGTTCCGCCCATGAGGGGTCGAGATTTCCGCGGTGAAGGGTGACGAAGGGCAACCAACCCAATTTCCTAGCGCTGCAGCAAAGACCTCAGGCCGCGTCGGGGCCCCCGAACCGCGCACTTTCAGGCGTCAGGCAGCCAAAGGTCTACCCCTGACTGACAAGTGGTCGTGATGCCTGGGCCAGTGCACAGCATCCTGGATAATTGTCACTTGTTGCGCTCTCGCCTCCGCAACGCACCTGTGACGCTGCCGGGAGCCTTGCGAAACAAAGGAGACGGCGCGACAGCAAGCAGTCTCTGCCAGAAATCACTGGGCACCGCGACCTCCGGCGACGCCGTCGCCTTGGAAAAGCCTGGTTGCAGTTCGTGCGTAGTGTTGATGGCTGAAATGTGTTTAGGATGGCGTGGAGTGGCCACAGATTTGCGACCAAAGAGCCAGCGATTCGGAGGCGAGAGGCCCGTTGTATGTCCACCCCCTCTCGCCTCCAACTCAGCCAGAACCGATGGCGAGAGGACACAGGCCCTGCAGCCAATGCCAGCTGTGGACGGCGTTATCTTTTAATGGCTTCGGAGTGGACTGAGATCGCAGAGCCTGGATTATTAGGCAGGTCACACTGCTCTCTGGGATGCCGTGTCGTATTTGGCTAGGTATTTCGAAGACAGGTGCTCACGATGCTGGTTGGCAAGCATCGCATGCTGTACCATGGTGATAACGTGCCATTTCTGTGACCCGAGCGGAGGAGAATCCACCGAATGGTATTGGTGGCGTGTCAATCTACTGCTCCAGCAAAGTGTCTTTTGGATCTAGAACATAGATAGACGGTGCTTGTTGAGGTGAAGTTGGATGCCGGGACTGCAGCGCCGATAATTAGCCGGTGCCCGAAAGCGGGGGCTGTTGTGGTGCTGACAAGCCGCACCCCCCTTGCTGCAACTCGGCCCTCATCACTGCCCTGAACAACCCAGGGCAACGACATGTCGTGGTCTCTGAATCAACGCTGCTCGCCATTCCCACGACATCAGGAACCAGACTGCTTAATTCCGCAGCGCTGAGGTATCCATCGGCGGCGATGACCCACCCACGATTGTGGTTGCCCATGGGAGCGACGGAGAGCGATGACGTGCACGAGCTGAAGGCAGCAGGATGGACCACAGCCACGCGCTGAGTCTCTCTGCTGACCTAGGCAGCCTCGATCTCGACAACAACCGGCCGGAATATCCGTTCAATTCTCGTCAAGGCATCTTGTCATGGACTTTCCCCTGGCTCGAGACGCTTGCTTCCAGGGTTCTGACCGAAGTTTGTCTCGCTTCGGGCCGGTTGTCATCCTCAACGCTGTGGATGACACGGTGTGACGGCCGGCTAGGGTGTTTCACCTTGACCAAGCCTCATTTACTGATCGGACTGTCGACTTCAAGTGTGGTCGGGAGGCTCAGCAGTGGCGGCGCATCTGGAGTCGACGTGGCGGAGACGAAGTGAAGCAGTTTGACAGGCAACTCACGAGACCGCAAGAATATGCGAGTGTTCTGTTCGCCTGGCCGGGATCAGGCCCGAGTTCGGGGCTGGATGGCGGAAATGAATGATGTGCAGCCTCAGCTGCACTTTAGTGGCCGCGGCATCAGATTCGATTTCCGAGGCGGTTCAGCTTGAACCGCCGACCACAACTGCGCAACACTGGCATTTCCATGGTCTGAACGCCCTGAAAACTGCCGAGGGAAGGGGGCAGGCTGGACTGGAAGGGTGTGAAGGATCGATAGTGCGCGAATTGGCATATCTCGCGCTGCGCAACACTTTGGCTGCTCCAACGCGGACGGATCTCACCAAGTCCAGGAACGGCCAAGTCTGAAAGAGCGCAGCGAGGCGAGTGCCTGCAAGAAGCCAAGCTGCAAGATTTTGAAGAGCCTTGTCCTCGAAAGTCTCTTTGGGACGGGTTCCTTCGGGATTGCGGCTGGTTGCCTACTTAGTGGTTCGCGGCCCGGCGTCACGTCACAGAGGCTACCATCGACGTCCCGGTGGGACAATATCCAGAACGCATCATTGCCGGCAAGCAACAAGTCAGTTGCTTTGTTGTCATCTTCCAGGGTGCCAAAGCATCGTTAGTCCTGATGGTCTCCTAGCCTGTCGATGTTCTTTGCACGGGATCAGCTGATGTAACCATGGACCGTCGTGCTTACGGGAGCTGAAACCACCGCCCTTTTTCCACTCTTTCGGGGGTCCTCTTTTTTCTTGTTGCCTTTTTTCCTGATTATCTGCGGTCCACCCAACAAACTCGATTTGTTCAACTGGCTCACATGCTTGATAGTGACGTCCACTCTCTCCCTAAGGGCAACCCATGCTGAGGTGGCGAATATCAAACTCACCACGAGGGCCAACACGACGCTTGGAGCCCGATGCCTCAGTCACCCTGGTCGGATTGGCATCGTGGACCTTAGGCAGAGCACGCCGCGTCCCTTTCCGTGTCAGTGCCAAGACGAAACTCTCCTCCTTCGAGTGGATGAGAATCACCCTGCTGGCTACGATGGACACTTGCACCCTTCACGCCAATATGGCCCACCGACAGGGCGCCGCCGTCACCCCGACCGACACCTGACCGACCGGCCACGACTACCCGTGACTCGACAGCCATGTCCTGGGGACTTCCATCCCCGTGGCCGTCCCTCCTCCACCAATGTCATCAGTGGCAAACGTTGTCTGTACCTGCATTAGTGGGCCCCTCCCTTCCCACGAATCTCCTTCCTCAATCGCCCAAGGACTACGTACTTGCTCGAATCCCCTTGCCGCCTCGGCCCTCGCCGCCGTCAATTATCATGGATTGTCTGCGAGGCAGAAGGTCATGAGTGCTACCCAGCCCTCGCTATGGTGCCCTGAGGCGAGCGGCGGGCTTAGACTCGTCCTGGCAACAACCTGGTGTCCCTCCCCATTGCGTCTTGTCACGCTAGTCCCTAGCCCCAGGTACCCTCTGTTTTCATACAGAGCTGTCTGGGTTTCAGGAAGAATTACTGGCTGTGGCGGGGTCGCGGAGCGTGGAGCAGATGACCTTGGGGAGCCCTTGCCAGAATTCCCGGGACCACTGACATTTGCAGCCTTGGTTTACTCTACATCGAAGAATGCCTGTTTCCGTCTGAGCCATGCCCTGGGCTCTCCTCGTCGACACCGCTCGCCTTGCCGACCTTGTTGAGTCACCAGGGCTTTCTCAACGAAGAAGCTTGCGATCTCATACACTGCCGCGTAGACATGGAGGACTTAAAACTCCAACAGAAACCCGTCCTGGAATTTAAGGTTGGCCAAGCAAGCCGTTCTCAACGCTCACAGTCTGCACAGCTCTTCTTGAAGAACCCAACTTCCCACAAACCGTCCAACGACATTCTTGTTACCGCTCGGAATCCGCTCAAGCCCGACCTAGCCACAGTCTCTCAGCATGCCTTCCTCCTCTCGTCACCCCCACAGCAGCAGCTCCCGCAAGCACGATGTCTACCTCGGCGGCGACGGCCACAGTGGGAGTTCCTCCCGCCGGTCCAAATATGTCCAGGAGAGGAAGTGGTACTGTGCATGGTGTAACTTCGGGCCCTTGGACTGGACCTACGACACTCATTGCGCCGATTGCGGGCGGGCCCGCGACCAGTACTGTCGCGTCGAGTACCAGACACGCAAGGTCCGAGTGACCTAGTCGTGGCGCCTGGCCGGCAACTACAGCGCCGCGAGGGTCGAACGGCCTGACTTTTTCGAATCAACATCTCTGGTTTTGACTACTTGGTTTCGTCCCACATATCACCAGACGGCAGCTGGTGAATTCTTGTTTTCGGCATGGGGGCCCATCAGCATAGTCGTCTCGACAAACGTGATGGCCTGTCGAGGATGGTGAGCTCCTCCTTCTTTCGAGTAGACCCTGTGCGGATTGGAGCTCACATGAAGCTTAGGTCGTTGAAGGCTCACATCCAGCGAGCAATCACCCCCCTTCCGCGGCACGACATCCTACCATCCGACTCTCCTCACCTATCCTCTGCGACGTCGTCTACAACCGGTTTCCTGCCGGGAGGAAAAAGAAGAGCATGGCGTTGGGAGTTGGACCCAAATTGATACCACTTTGTACTTTATAATAACACATGCGAGGGGGGGGGGGGATTTGCTTTCTTGGAGCTTTTACGGTAGTCGTCTGAATAAACTCATGCACCAACACATGCTTCGGGCCCATGATTGTGACCCGTCCGTTGTTTGACCCGGGAGGGCAAATAACACGCAGTTTCGTTTCGTTTACCCCTTTCTTTTATTCCCGCGAATCCTTTCCCAACGTTTCACGACCTCATGCGCGTCTGCATCACAGACGATCTCGGAAAGTCTCGTCTCCCCACGCTTATCACATGCAGGCAGCTTTGTCGTCTTGCCCCTCCATCAGTCCCCTCCTTCATCGACCACGAGTATATGCAGCCCTGTCATTCTGCAGATCCCACCCACCCACATCGCATGCAGTCTGAGATCGAGTGTGACAGCAAAGTTCCAGTCTAAAGCACATAAGTTCTGCGCAGTTTTGCTGTCTACATTAGAGCCCTCGGTTTCCGTCCCTTCTGTGCCAGAGTGATCTCGTTCTACCACCAATACTACGGCTTACTCTCCTGGCCCAGCTGCACCTACCCCGCGGACAACCCAGAACCCTGCGAGGGGCAGCAGCTGACCTCGACAACTGTCGTCATTGACCACGACATTGCACCACGGCAATTGGTGTTGCGGCTCCGTACGTGGGCCAGAAAAAAAGGGAGCTGACAACGCCCTCACACAGGCCCTTACTGTGAAAGGGCGACCACTGGAGCTCGATGTGCGCCGTCACATGAGGCCTCCCCACCCTGCGATCGCGGCTCTCTAAGGGCTTCCTCGGCTACATACTGGTTTGATTCAACCGAGCGATCTTTGATTACAGGTGGCACCGGCAGAGAGGAACTACGGCGGTAAAGGCTTGTGTCTGTGTCCCCCTTGGCCCCAACAACAACAACAACAACAACAACAACAACAACAACAACACCAGGCGCCTTTTCGGCCCCGGGTAGAGCGGGCCCAGGCTGGATCAGGGGCGGAGTGGCAAAGCACGGAGTCGCGCCTCACTGCACTTTGGGCTTTTTTCTGTTTCGTTTCGCTCGTGTTGCCAGGCAGGCGGAGGGGAAGTGGAAGGGGAAGGGGGCACAGAAACCTCTCGGGAGGATGATGGCTGCCTTGGGATGGGGGCCGCCCAATGCACGAACGAGGCAACAACACGCTAACGGGCCAGGAAATATAAGTATACACTCAACAAAACGAGAGATGTCCTGTCAGCCCGCCGATGTGCCTTTCAACCTCCAAAACAGCCTGAGGCGCGGCAACAAGCTGTGACGCAGTGAAGGTGAAGTCATACCTCCACCTGAGCGTGGGCGAGGAAGAAAAGCAACCTCGGGGCGCAACGGCGATCGGCGCTGCACCCTGCCTGGGAGAAGAAAAAGCAACAAGCCAGCAGAAAAGTCAGTCCCCTGCACGAACATGCCCGGAGACGGCGAGGGCCGCAATGATTGGCCTGAGAACGCCTTGTTGCCCGTCCACGCTGTTCTGTGTGGACTGCTGCTGCTGTCAGCCAGGAAGGGGAGAGGAAAAAAGCAATAGCTGAGGTTCGTGTTGCGGATCCTGGGCTTGCCATCCCCATGCAGGGGCCCTCGGCTGGCTGGCCTGCAGGCTTGGGGCAAACTCGAGTGGTGACCTGCCACGGCTGCAAGCGATTTAGGGGAGGACCGGGACAGGGCTTGCAGGTGTCTGCAGCTCGGCCGGTGGTCCTGGCCCACAGGTGATTGCTTCTTCTCTTTTACGGCCGAAACAGAAGGCCCGGGAATGTTTCCGAGCATGTTCTTCGGTAAATGACTGTAATTGGAACCGACCTTGTTACAGTGACCAACCAATTCGGCTTGTATTACCAGGAACACAGGCCAATGGGTGAGATGCCTTTCCCGAAGAGTTCGAGTCTGGACTTGACGGAAGGAAGCTGAGTGACTTGTCCCGCCTCCCCCAACGCCATTGTTCAACATCCGGTGTTCTCTTGTACTTGTTGCAGTCGGTGTTCAACCCACAACCCAATCAAATACAATGCGGCCACATACCACAAAAAGAACGAGAACACCACGAATTCAATTACTGTATTTGAAACCGATGTGAGCTGTCGGACTCATTGAGAGCCGTCACGAGAGTCGGCCAGATGTTGAAGTCTTGAGCTTCGTGGATTTTGCATACCGTAGCCACTACTCTGCTATTTCATCCCTACATGATTACAGTCCCGTTTTTGGAATGCACTCCAAGCATGCTGCAGATTGTCACAGGTGATATTTGCCAACCAGTGAGGCCTGTTGATCGGATTTCCGAAGAACGTATTTCTCGATGTGGTCGTTTGAGACTTTCCCTTTCCATCCCGTTTGATCTCGCCTAGTACGACACGAAAGCAAATGCAACCAGGATTTACGGAGGCAAGAGTCAGTCCAAAGGCCGAGGCTGAATCGCCGGGCCTGAAATATGTGTTTCCTTCGCAAGCCGGCCACGAGAGTCGGGATTGAACCTCGGCCCCGGCCGGTCGACGGAGGGGGCCGGGGATGTTACCCCCGAAAGAAGCCGAAACGACCCCGGATGACCAGGGTGCTCCGTGTCACGTCGGGGTTGTGCACGGCGGAGTTCATTCAACACCATTGTCCGTTCCGCAGATGGACGCCGAGTGGCTGTATTGGACTCGCCTGATTTGCTCATTGACGACTGCAGGTGCGCGTAGCCGAGTCCACGCGCCCCTCTCACTTGCCCCTCTGCTGTGCCGGTGAAAAAAGTTGCCCGTCGGCCTTGGAATTCGCTCACCCTCAGCATCCACACCACCACATACGCCCGCGCCTTCACATGCGACTACTGCACCTGGATCCTTCCGTCCACAAGCCACTTTTGCCCATTGTTCCGGTCCGCCCAAGACACCTCGGAAGCCCTGGATTCTCCTGGAAACCGGACACCAACCCAAACCCACACCAAGACAGCCCGGTCTAGCTCGCTAAAAGGTGAGAAAATGGCCGCCACCACCACGCCACTTCCCGCGCCTCCCTTCGTGGACGTCCCAGGCCTGCCCAACTTCCGCGACTGCGGCGGCTACCCGGTCGCGAACACCACAACCACGGGCAGCGGAGGTGACAATGGCGACGGCAAGACGCAGAAGATCATCCGCCGCGGCATCCTCTTCCGCTCCAGCGAGCCCTCGAAGCTGACGGAGGACGGCGTCGCCATCCTGCGCGACACCCTGGGCATCACGCACGTCTTCGACCTGCGGTCCAAGCCCGAGATCGAGCGCGACGCCAAGCTCGACGGCAGCCGAGGGAGTGGGACGGCGCCCGCAGGGTCTTTGCGCCTGTGTTCCTGGACGAGGACTACAGCCCTGAGGCTGTCGCGAGGCGGTATGCGCACTTCTCGAGCGCCGAGGGCGAGGTGAGTCGACATGGGGTTCACTTGCACTTTTGGTTTCGTCTCTTTCCTTTGGCTCCCTAGACTATCTGGACCATCGTGGCTGGCTCTGCACGTGCGGCTTTGTCTGATTCGGGGTGAGGCTGCTCGGAATGTGTGACCCCATGCAAGCGTCTCGACCTACAATCTTGCGCTCATGTTGCAAACCCGACTCCAATCAACCTCGGCCTCGCCACGCCTCAACAGCACTTCCACGCCTTATTCTGCTTCCCACGTGTCGGAGCCTCTCTCCAGCTTCCCTGCCCACCCTTGAATCCTAGGCTGATGGCATGCGTCCCCGTCTCGGACAATGACCGCCGCAGGCCCGCGACCACACAGAAACAAGGCTAACAGGACAATGCAGGGCTTCGTCCACGTCTACGACCGCATCCTCAAGAGCGGCACCGACCCGACGGGCGCGCAGCCCTTCGCCTCCGTGCTGCGGCACCTCGCCTTGCCATCGCACGCCCCGACGCCGATCCTGACGCACTGCACGGCCGGCAAGGACAGGACGGGCGTGCTGTGCGCGCTGGTGCTGTCGCTGTGCGGCGTGCCCGACGACGCCGTCGCCCACGAGTACTCGCTGACGGACCTGGGCCTGGGCCACCGCCGCGACGAGTTCGTCGAGAGCCTGACGCGGTCGGGTCCTCTCAAGGGCAACCGCGCTGCCGCCGAGCGGATGGTCAGCTCGCGGCCGGAGGCTATGCTGGGTACGCTGGCGCTGATCCGGCGGGAGTATGGGGGCGTCGAGGAGTTTGTCAGGGGACGATGTGGGTTGTCTGACGAGGAGATCGAGGGGATCAGGAGGAATCTGACTATCGAGGTCGGTGGTGACCAGAACCCTGTTGATTGGGAGGAGCATCGGAAGCTGTTATTATAGCATGATGTGCGGACAGTAGGTTGGTTCACGGCTGGTTCAGGAGACGAGTCTGTCTTGCCTTGCGGGAGGTTTGTTTTCTCAGGAATAGAGCTCGCATTGCGATGGAGTTCAGACGCGTCGTAGGCAGTCCGCATGATACACAATCCTGCCAACAACATTGCTATGCAGGTATATCCTGCTGTTCTGCCATCGGGCGTACATAATGTGTTGTACAGATGTTGCTTCCACCAGATTTATCTAATCGATCTTGGTGGGGATCTTGACCTGGTTCTTCTTCCGGTCCTCAAACGGAATGCCGTACCTCCAGCCAACGCCACCTCTGGCACGGCCATCCTTGCCGACATCATCAGCACTGATGGACTTGATCCGGAAGTCGAATCGGCCTGTTGTGACCGTAGTAGTATTCTTCTTCTCCTTCTCCGCCATTGTGAGGATCTTCAAGTCCCTGTCGTCTTCGGACTTCTTGGCCTCGCTCTTGAACTGAGTCCAACTCTCCTTCTCCTTCATGCCGTCCTTCACCCTCCTTTCCATTTCCACAAGCTCACGATGCGGCACACGCTCGTCGGGCGACAGCATGGTGTGGTGGAAGGCCTTTGCCGCGTCCTCACGGGTGAAGTGTCGCGATTCTGACGTCGGCACAAACAGCTGCTGCATCGTGTAGCCATGCACGTGGATCTCATTGATCGGCTCAAGGGCCCGTATTGGCTTGTCTTCGGGGTAGCTGTGCGTGGGTACCATGTCAAGGACGGCTTTCGAGTAGACTTTTGCCAGTTTCAAGCCCTATGATCGAGCGGAATGAGGTCAGCCATTGCGTCAAGTCACTCGCTGGGGTGATCAGGAAAAGAAGGTGTCATGTTTCTATCAGAGAGGCTCGCAAAGCTTTTTTGTAACCATGTGTTGTATGAGCTGTCTTCAAGACTAATCGAATTTTTTGGTGTATCATCAGAGAAACGGGGGTGGATGAGTGAGTAGTGGATAAAGGATATCGGTGAGCTTCGACATACCTTTGCCTCCCAGTCCTTTTCCACCTCTTTCATCCTCACGATAGCGGCCACCCTCTTCTGATCAACGCCCAGCTCGGCCGAAACGGCCTTGACGCCCTCCCACTTCACCATGACCTTGTTCCAGATCAATTCGCGCGCCTCCTCGGACAGTACCGGCTGGCTGATGAACGCGGGGTTGGAAGGGAAAGGCCGTGGCGGTCCGATAGGGTTTTTATCAAGGTAGTTTGGCTTGCCAGGCTTGTGGGTCTTGAGGTCCTTGCCGTGCTTCTTGAACCACTCTTGCATCCGCTGCTTCAAGACCGGTGCGTTCCGCCGTTGGCGATTTGTGCTGGAGGAGAAGGATCTGCATGATGACGGAAGAGACAGGAAGTGGGAGGAGAGGAGTGCGCGCTCAAGTGGCGAGGCCGAGGCGACCGCAATTGAGCTGCTGCCGGAGAAGCTTGAAAGCTCTGCACAGCAAGCCTGCAGCGATTGGGACGGTAACCGGGGAGGCATTGTGGGAGGAATGGATGAGGAAGGAAAGGAATGGAAAGGACGAGGGAAATTGTATTATTGAGATGGTATCAGTGTCGTGTCGCTTTCATTATGGTCGTACAGATGAGGTCTGTGTTTGCGACGTGTTGGGGCGCGCCCAAGGACTGGAACAGGTTGGGGGGAGCCACGCGATCGTGGAGTTGAGGAGGAGCTCCGGTAGAGCAGACGAGAGCTTGCAAATTTTCAAGTGGTCGGTGACGGGTTCTTCCTGTGGCCGGACCGACCAGGGTTGGGGTTCGGAGGTGACCGAGGAGACCCTACCCCCCCCCCCCCAATCTTGGTGATAAGTCCTGCCGAGGTGACAGCCATGGGGCGATTACACTTGCAGGCGTGCAGCCCACACTTGACGTCTAAGACAAATGTGACTAGTATTGGTATTTGTAGTCAAATATGGGAGCATGGAGACTCGTCTCTAAAATTTTGACCGCGGGGCTCTACTCCTGAGCCCTCTCTCCCTCCTCCCCCTCTCAACCTCTTCCTGCCCGAGGCGGCGACTGTGTTCCTCTGGGGCTACACCCAGCCCACGATCAGATCTCATCCTGTGCACTTTTCTCGCCGCTCTCTTCTCTCTCCTGTCCGATACTCGCGCCCGCCGGCTCCGCGCCCGAGGTCCACAGCTGAAGCTTCTCAGACTTGTCTTGAACATACGCCCAGTCACTCTCATTCCATGAGCCCTGCATGTAAGCCGTCGCCATTCCCCCCACGGTCACACCCAGCACCAAGCAGTGATGGTTGGCACCGGCCGATACTGCTTTCCCATTTGGATTTGGGCCTCCTCCACTGCGTCGCTCGCGCACCACTCCGACGACCCGACATAAGCTGTTGGCCGCAGTCGTACTTCCCAGTGCCAGCTGGGCCGTCCACTTCAGTTTCGTTGGGATCCGGTCATGGGGATAGTGTGTGCGTTCATAACGCTCGTATATCGGTACGCCGAAGACCAAGATTGCAAAGACGGCATATGGCAGGTTCATAACGTCTGTGGTGGTGTGTCGACTGCTTTTAAGAGCGTGGCGGCCTCGATTGCTTGCGGGTTTCAACGACAGCTATGTCGTCTGCGTCGTTTACACGTCCAGGAGGACAAAGTCGAACCATCACAGTCTAACAGCTTGTTTTCGTGCTTGTATCAAGGACACGACAGACGGATCTTCATGAAGAAGACTCCTTGCCTGCGTCTGTTGCATCCCCAGTGTTTCAGGTTCCGAGCACAGCACCTCCACCATCGACCACACGTCGTTGCACCTTGGCAGGTCTCTTGGCGAAACCTCGCCAAACATGCGAGGTGCCAGGTGTCGCTCGCTATTTATTCATCCGTCAAGCTCGAGCGGGACCGTAAGGCAAGACATGATCGGATATGATTCCATTGACACGTCGCACAGATGGCGACTTTACCCGTTGGTGGGCTCACATGCCACACATATGCTTGCCGTGCAAGATCGGCATCTCACTCCCCCACGCACGGCCCAGACGACGAATCGGTGGCTGTCGTTGTCAGCCGTTCAAGCCCGAACCGTGAGATGCAAGCGCTTGTGGGGCCAATATGACAAGAGCTCATCACAATGCGTTACACTACAGGAATTGTTTGCAGGGCCTGCGATTCGGGATGAACCGAATCCTGCACGTGTTCGCCAAGAAGAAGCGGCGATTTGCTGCAGCCGCCTTGGCCCAGCCGCAGTCAGATGGGGATTCCGGCATCCCGACCGTTCGTCCTGCTGGGTCCCGGCCGACGCAGGGTCTCGCCGGAAGCCGGCGTCACTTCGTCCTGTCGCGTCCCGCTTGTCCCGACCTTCTGGGTTGAATCGCAGATATGTTCTGCGAGCCCCTAGGTTGTTATCGGGCTCAGCGATGTCTAGGTGTCGTATGTGTAAGACTGCTTACACACCGGCATAGTGATCGGGCAAATGGTAATCATGCGCCGGCTTAGACCAAGATTGTTCCACCGGGTTTCTGGAACGTCCTAGCCCTATCTTGAGCGACGGCCGTCGCCTGTCACAGAGGACGGGCGCGGAGGCAACACGGCGGTTGCCGTCTACCACCAGCGACCAGGCAGCCAAATCCGAGGTGATCAAACCCAAGCCATGCGTGCTGGGACAAGGCTCTGGGCGCTGTTGGGGAAGGAGGGTAGCAAACACCACTGAACAGCGGCCGCTCTGGACGCACGGCAGGTGTCTGGCCACTTATCGTCGCGAGCAGCACGGAAGCATCCAGGCCCTCGAGCGTCCCGAAAAACTCTAGTCCTGGCAGCACCCCCTTCGCCAAGCCGGATAAGAGGTCGCTAATCCCCACTGAGGAGCAAAGCCCTTTCCACGGCCGTTACTAAATAAGCGTGTCAATCCTGGACAGGCATCGATACGCTGGACAAGGGAGATAAGCTCGGACATGGCGTTGATTGCCAAGCTCGAGGCTCATTGGAGCCGGCACCGGGAAGTTGACCGTCAACCGGCTGCTGGCACCTCGGCGAAATACAAAGTCTCGCGGGGGTGCCGGATGGACCCTTTGTCTTGTTGAAAGAGTATTCTCCAGGTTGCGTGGTACAATTCATCCCAGCCTCCTTCTGTTTTTCTCGGATCCAGTGTCGTCCCGTCCGGAAGGAACAATCGACAAAAAATCGTGCACCTTGGCGGTTCGCTCGACACGCCACTACTCCACAGGAATCCGCCACTGTCCCACAGACCGCGACCGGCAACGTGAAGAATTTGCCTTGAGCTGCTCGCGTGAGCACTTCTTCCGGTTCAAAGTCAACACTAAACGGTCAAGATGGCTTGGGCACAGAGCATCAACGAGAAGGTCGCCAAGAGCGCCGTTGGGCGCTGGTTCCGGCTCGATGGCAGCGGCCACAAGAAAACTCGACGCGGGTCCTACTTCTTCACAGAAATCCGCGCCGGGCTGGCGACCTTCTTTGCGATGGCGTACATCATCGCCGTCAACGCAAGTATCGTCGCGGACACCGGAGGCACCTGCATCTGCAACGGCGGCGCCGACGACCCGACATGTGAGAACAACACCGAGTACGCCCTGTGCTCGAACGAGATCAAGCGCGACCTGATCACCGCCACGGCTGCGATCTCTGCCTTGTCGAGCTTCTGTATGGGTTTATTTGCCAACTTGTGAGTCATCTGAACCTGATAGCTTGTGTATTCACTGTGTCTAACGTTAAAGCAGGCCCGTTGGTCTTGCTCCCGGAAGTAAGCAGCTTCCGGATACAATTTCTACCCCATCTGGAAAATCGATTTTCTATGTGTAGCCTGTACCTCAAAGGTATTTTTAGGCTGCAGGTTTTGAAACAAACCATGGCCATACCGTGACCTGGTTCTCCCCATATCCAGACGAAGCTTCTTCCTCAGTTCTTTGTTAGCTAACTCCTTTTGCTGTAGTGGGCCTTAATGCCTACTTTGCCTACACTGTTGTTGGATTCCATGGCACCGGCACCGTGCCATATCAGGTCGCTGTCACGGCCATCTTCGTTGAAGGCTGGATTTTCTTCGCTCTCGCCCTCTTTGGCATGCGCCAGTGGCTCGCGAGGGCCATCCCCCGTTCCATCAAGCTGGCCACGTCTGTCGGTATCGGCCTGTTCCTCACCATCATCGGCCTGACGTATTCCGAGGGTATCGGCCTTATTGTCGGTGCAACCTCTACCCCTACTGAACTCGCCGGCTGTATCGACAGTGTCCGTGATCCGGATACCGGGCTGTGTCCAGGAAGCCAGAAGATGAGGTCGCCCATGATGTGGGTCGGCATCTTTTGCGGTGGTATCCTGACGAGTCTGTTGTTGATCTACCGCGTGAAGGGTGCGATCCTGTACGGTATCGTCCTGGTGTCCATCATCTCCTGGCCGCGTACCACCCCGGTCACATACTTCCCTTACACCGACGTTGGGAACGACAATTTCGACTTCTTTAAGAAGGTTGTGGACTTCCATGAGATTTCCAAGGTCCTGAACGTGCAGGAGTGGAGCATCGGACAATATGGTGGGCAGTTCGGCCTGGCCCTTATCACCTTCCTCTACGTCGATATCCTCGACTGCACTGGTACCTTGTACTCGATGGCGCAGTACGCCGACTTGATCGACCCCGTCACGCAGGACTTCGAGGGCTCCACCATTGCTTACATGGTCGACTCGGTCGCCATCTCGATTGGTGCCCTCCTCGGCACACCACCCGTGACCGCCTTCGTGGAGTCAGGTGCTGGAATCGGAGAAGGTGGCAAGACAGGCCTGACGGCGATGGTGACGGGCATCTGCTTCTTCATCTCCATCTTCTTCGCGCCCATCTTCGCCTCGATCCCTCCGTGGGCCACAGGCTGCGTCCTGGTCCTCGTCGGCTCGATGATGGCGCAGTCCGTCACGGAGATCAACTGGCGCTACCCAGGAGACAGTATCCCCGCCTTTGTCACCATCGCGCTCATGCCCTTCACCTACTCCATCGCCGATGGCCTTATCGCCGGCGTGTGCACGTACATTGTGCTGAACACCACGGTCTGGATGCTGGAGAAGGTCAGTGGCGGACGCATCGTCCCCCCGAACAAGGACGAGAAGGAGCCCTGGACCTACAAGATCCCCGGTGGTGTGCTGCCGCCTTGGATGAGGCGCATGGCCAAGGGCAAGAAGAACTTCTGGAGCGAGGACGACAGGGACGAGGTCGCTGGCCACGGCGAGGATAGCCGTCGCACAAGTGGGAGCCTCGGGGAGCCGGAAGAGAAGACGGTCGGCGCTACCGCTGCGTCGAAGCCGGTCAAGGAGGGCGGAGAGGAGGAGCTGCATTGAGTGGGCGGTTCGTTTTATCGCATGTCTTAGAATGGGCTGCATTTCTAGAAACCTAGAAAATGTCCGCTCGAATCTGGCAGTTGTAAGCCACCATCGGAGGTCTCTCGCCTTCAGCTATATCATGGGCTGAGAGAAGTTGGATAAACAATAATACGAAGAGAAGAACAATTCTGCATACAAAATGTGTGACTCCATACAGCGAAACGCAGCGAAGGCTCTGAATGTTCCAGCGCCAAACCGTGATTCACCCACTGATTCAAGTACCGCCATCCATCGGGTCCTGATGCTTGTTCCTTCCCACTACAGCTGCTCAGTCCCATGTCAATAAGCTCTGGCAAGCGCATTCGGGGTGGTCAAGAGTGTGCTCAAGGATTATTTACTGTCGTCTCCTTCTGAACTCCGTGTCCCCAGCAACTTCTCCCTTTTGTTCATATTGGCCATTTGTGTCTGCAAATGGTAATTGCGAGCTCTTGCTCGTATCAGCAAGAATACTGCCCTACATAATCAAGCGCCCTGCCTTCCTTTCCTTTGGACCCTGGCACCAACTGGGACAGCATGTCCTCACGAGATACCCGACGACCTTTGGCGGTCACGAACGCACAAAAAGACCAACGTCTGGCTATGCCATGCCCCAGAGTGGATTCATTTCGCAAGACCGGGCACTCGCCACATGCCTGAGACGCTCTCCCTTCAGCTTCTCATAAGATGCATGTCTTCTCAAGTCCGATATCAATGACACGGCATGGCCAGCGATCCTGTATGGTCAGATGCGGCAGTTGCGAGGTCAATCCACTCCTCTGCGACGAACTACCAGTCCAGGAAAGAGCTTGCTCGTCGGGCATCGTGACTGTCGCATTTGCTAGACTCGAGGAAAAAGGGCGTCAACGAGGGAACTTCGTCCGTGGTCTTCGCTAAGACAATCAAGGGTCCACTTGCCACAACATCATTCGGACTCTGGTTCTCTTTGCGTTTTGCTATTCTTGGAGACCTCCGTCCACATTGCAACACTTCTTGTTGTTCTTCACTTGAACGCAGAACAATCAACATACCCTGTCTTTAATATTCTTTTTCTTGAGGAAGCACCTCTTTTCATTACAGTCGATGGCTCATTGCCAGCTTCTTACGGAATCTGTCTTGGAACATGGTCGCCGTCTTATTCGCATGACATCAAAGAATCCCGGGACGGACGGCTTTGTTCAATTCAAGAATTTTCCAGGAGAGATCCGCATCAAGATATGGAGAGCTTCAGTGCCGGCGTTTGCGCCCTGCACCTTCACTCTGGAACGTCACGAGCGAACTTGGCAAGACGTGATGGACGGGAGATACTCTGAGAACACATGCTGCATCACGCCAACTCTTGAAACCCAATATCGCATCTCAGCGATTCGAGCACTGCTCTTGACCTGCAGAGAATCCAGGTACGAGATCGAGAAGCTTTACCCACAATTATTGCACCTCAAGAGTGGTGCGATGCGCTGGGACTCAGCTACCGACATCTTCATGTCAGACCCTGCACAACAGCTGCATTTTCTGCAACCATCGTCCACGAGAGGCTTTGTCAAACGGGATTTCTACGGAGATTGGAATCGAGACGTGTGGAATTTCGGTTGCTATGGAGGACAAATGAAGGAGATCCATCGAGTGCCCGCGGAAAAGTATGCTCCGTACTCGCCGGTTGTGGAATACACAAACGATTACTCAGTCGAGAGCGAATTGTTAAAGGAACATCCCCTGGCCACATCACCAAACGCAGACGCAAGGGAGCGAATACGCCAGGAAGTTCAAAACGAGAGAATTTCGCGTTCATGGACTGACTTTCTCGTCCACGTTGCCGTCTTCCCGAATCTCCGCAGTTTTCTCATCGTTGTGCCAAATCGGTTTCAAACTCGCGATTGGTTGAAAAGGGGAGCATCGCGGGAAGATGTGCAGATGCTTTCGCGTACGTTACGCGGAATCCCTGGTCTATTCGCTTGGGCTCCAGTCTCGGAACAGAGATTGGAGAGCCACCCTACTGGAAACAACACCATTGGGACATTCGCAAGTAATTTCAAGTGGTTCTACAAGGAAATGAGCCGCCGTTTGCGGTTCTTTGGTTCCGTCACCGAAAGCAATGAACTGCAAACCAGTGACATATTCGCAGGTAATTTCGAGTGGTTCTATGAGGAAATGAGGAGACGTGTGCGGCTCTTCTGTTCCATCACCGAAAGAAATGACCTGGAGGGGTGGGGGAAAGTGGTCCGCCGGTCCATCAGGGGACATATACCACACGAAAAGCTGCAGAAGCTTGTGCGTTTGCCGATTTACATCCTGGTGGAGACCGATCATGACTTGAGTGAGGCCACCTTATGGGCAACGGGGAGATGAAAACCAAAGAAGACACCCAATATAAGGCACAACCAACTGCGGAAGCCCACCCGCTGGATTCAGATGGGAAGAATATTGGGGCTCGAAAGGGAGCTGAACTCGAGGCAACAGCGGCTAGAATGAAAGAAGAACATTACTTGCGGGGAGGGAACAGGAGCTGAGGTTACTTGTTGGACTTTGTGTTGAATGCCAGCGTTGTTTGCATTTGCTGTTCTCCACCCAGCGTTGAACCATTCAGCCAACGGCTGCTTTGTCCTTGCTCGGAAATGGAAGGTAGCTCTCTGGAGCCGATGCTGGCACTGTCTGCACCTGCTTCATGATTGTGCAGGTTCTCGAGATAGTTGACATCCAATAGAGCCAAGTATTACTGATTCGATATGCTCAGTGCCATGCTTTCCCCAGTGGTCATATCATCGCCCCATCTGCTTCTTAGCTTGTAACTAATATAACGAGACAGTGATCGAGTCACTGTGACATACAAAAAGGCACAGGACGTGAACTTGGCTCAGATCGTGGTGGCCTAATAAAGCATAATATCCTGCCCCATCGACTGTCAGGGCGGATAGACTGATTCCTGGCAACGCACTCAAAAAAGTAAATACGGACTTAATTAGATAAGAGACCACAATCCACAAAAGCCACAATTTGAAAACGGAATCTCGAAAACAAATCCTCATCTCGTCTTGAAGATACCCAGGAACTTTCCTCCGTTCTTTTCTTTTGTGCGATTACCAGCAAGCTTGTCCTGAGGTACCCTTTTCGTAGAGCCCGAAGTGGAAGCCGGGTAGCTTGAGGGACCGGGATAAGCGTGGTAGTTATTACCATTACGCGTATTGAAGTGCTCCGGTGTACCCTGCGTGTAGTTTCTTCCACCGTAGCTATGCTCTGATGCGCTGTATAGTCCAGCTCCATTGGTAGTGGGATGTATCTGTCGAGGCCTCCCCGGCCCTCGGTCTACATCACGACTATGTGTGTTGACGGCTACTCCACCGGAGTTCACATACTGGGCGGCCAAGCCTTGACTTGGTTGTTTTCTTATCCTCCTCCGGGGCTCTTCGTGTCGTTACGGCCGGGTAGAGTAATGTAGGTGTGGATCACAGTAGAGTTAGTGTCGTTGGAGTAAGTCGAACTTGCTGTCGTATATGTATTCGTGCGTGGATCGACAGGACGATGTGGCATTGGGCCCCTGCCTGTACTCCGACCGTCTGGAATGGAATGACCGCTGGCTTGTTGGTGCCTGGATCGATTCGCCACAGCAGATGGGTGTTGATTGCCCATTCTGCCCCTTCCAGCGCTGAACTGCGACCTATTGCGTTTCGCGTCTTCCGCGGCGCGTCGATATGCTTCGGCATAAGCGGGAAAGACATCCGGCTGTATCCTCCATAGTTCGCTAGACTGTCCACCAATACTGTTTCGGTACGAAAACAGAAGGAATCCAAGTAAGGCTCGACGGAATTTTCGATTATCGGTGACTTCGGTGATGTATGCATAAGCAACACGGTCATTCAGCCCAACGCCTCGGCACGGCGGGAGGACCAGAAGAACAAGAGAATTCCAGTCGAAGAGGGCCACAAAACGAGCTCCATAGTTTTTCTGGTAGTGCACTGCTTGCTGTAGCAAGAAACGAGCATCTTCCGCACCACGGACGTCCCGCATGAATCTTTGCTCCCCACTCAACATCCACGCGGCGAACATTTTCGGGTCTCTGGGAACTCCACGCTCGAATTCGTCCCGAGCGCAGCGTTTCGAGACGGCTCCGGGTTTCTTGTATTCCAGGATAGCATATGCTTGACCGTTGCGAAAGTAGCCCATATTGGCGCGTGATGTCGTCCCCAGCGTCACCTCGCTTCGTACATCGCAGGATTTAGAGTGATTCTGAGCTGCGTGTAAAGCAATATGCACCGGGTTGTTGAGGTAGATTGCTGATCCGTACACCACATCACCCTCGGAATCCATTCTCATGTTTCGTTCCCAAGGCGCCAGACGCGTATTCTTCTGATTGAGTCGTGATTTGTGTTGGTCGAGTGCAGCGTCTGCGATAGACAGCCATTTCGATTCTGGTGTCTTGAGGAGAAAGTTTGGAGGTTCGAACGTCCTGGTGGTGGTGGAAGGCGCCGAAACATGTACGTTCCCGTTCGTACCCCCGGAGACTTTCCGTCCAGAGCCTACATGATCTGGATCTACCGCCGCTCGGAATGATTCATAAATAGTAGGCATGTTACTTCTAGTTCAGCGTAAGTACTGGCGTCATCAATCTTTACTCCGACTACGCCGCTTCGGCAAGAAATGGAATGTTGTGGTCTTCCTGGGTGTGCGGAATCTTACGTTTCTTCTCAGGTAGTGGTAGACGAAGGGCATGCCTAGAAACAAGCGTACTGTTGAGACCAATTCGGCTGGTCGGGGAAGGCTTTTGTCGGAACCAAGCACGTCAAGCTATCACTCGGAAGATACTGATGCGTCGTTATTGATGGATCCTAATTTCTCTGTGACAGCTCGCCAGATCTCATGGTCGAGCCTTGCAGAACCAATAATTATGAGCCGAGTCCTGGCATCAGCGACGGACCTGGGTGTAAAACTCCATCTCGGGCCTAGGGCCGACACAGTTGGAAGAATACATGACACATTGGTCTTTCAAGGCGCTTATTTCAGCTTCTTTTCATATGGGTTTGAGGGCCAGAGTGGCCGGCAAACAGCCCACATGGCCCAAGTAGACAGCTAGCAACGGATCAAAATAGAACTCATACCGTTCTACGGTAAATGTTGGAGGTGACAAGTTGGTAGGTGGCCAACCAGGCCGTCTAGGTTGATACCGGTGCGGCGGCCTGGTGGCCAAGTAGACATGAAATGCGGTTACATCGTGCCCCTGGAAGCCATGGTGCACAGCAAAGCACCACCACAACTTGAATATAGGGAGAAGAGAGCTAGTGAGAAGAGGTACTAGGTGAAGAACACCGAAGTCGGTCGACGGTTCATTCTATCTTGGAAGTTCAAGCACCAAAATGCCGAAGTGCGTGCGCTCTTCGTGAGATCAAGAGTCTTACAATTGATTCGCCTCAGGCTCGTAGCCGTACAGATCTAGCCGAAGCCGAAAAGGCGGCCGCGGGGCCGGATAATTGGCCGCCATCACCCACACAGGTGAAACACCTGAGGCGGGTCAGCTTACGCCCAGAGAGGTCTCGATGCAGGACTGGAGAACGTATTGTCAAACAACAAGGTCGGCAGGGCTTCTCCTGAACCTGGCTAGGCCAGTGATGGCCGTTCATCGTGAAAATGCTATTTTGGGCCAACCACGCCCAAGTCCCCTGCACCAACAGGCGTGCTCAAGCTGTTGGTGCCAGCACTTTGTTTTTCACAGCATAGAATTAGTGTTTCACGCTGGGCTGAAAACGTTCCCAGCAGTTGTAATGCGCGTCGTCTCGGCTGAGGCCCGGGGGCTTGGTGCTACCACACGCTTCAGATAGTCGAAGGCTGATAACTTCAGCCGCAATACGTCTTGCCCTTTCTTCTGGCCTGCAATAGTAGACTGTTTGGCATTAATTTGAGCATCAATTTGGCCTCTCGTCATCGATGGCACAAGAAACAGATTCTACATGGGCAGTGCATGCCAAGCAGGACGCCACAAACGGCTGCTGCCTTAGACGCCTCACGAACAAGTCGCCACCAACCGATATGTGGCCCCGGAAAGAGGCTAATTATGGGAAAGGTGGTGGGAACTTCGAGGCCGGGTGCTTCGAGACCTCAGGTCCAATGACGCAAGGAAGAAGTGGCATCTTGGACGCTAGATTGATTCGCAAATCTTCGTGCGACCGGGCGAGGCACAGAAGCTACCAGATTCAGGTATCCTGGTTGCAACCGAACCAGGAAGCGAACAGGAGAATATCGTTCAGCTGGACTGAGCCTATGTACTTCCAAATATTCAGTCACACTGTGTAGACTTGGCATGCCAACGAATACGAAATTCTAACTCAGTCCGGGCGAACTCAACTGCTCGAATCTTGTCACGTTGACGTCAAGATGAAGACACATCCATTGCCCGAGGACCAGAACACACAGCCAAGAAGAGTTTACTCCAACAAGACGCAACTATGAAACCAGCGCAAAATTGGAGAGCCTGTCTGGAATGGCCGGTCATACTTCCAGAAAGAGAATCGAATCCCTATCAGAATTACGTACTGCCGAGGAGATCAGAGTGAATCCGAAGGTCCACGTTGATGAGTAAGATGTGCTTCAGATAACGACTGATGAGACCGGAACGGCGTCCAAAAACAGATAAATCTTGAAAATTCATTGTTATCAGAGAAAGACCGTGCCGCGGAGGCATCATATGAATTTCAACTCCGAGACGAGTCACTGTCTGTGGCAGGTAAGCGCCCGGGTTGGCTAAGTCCGCGGTACAGGGAGCACTGAAGTAGTCGGCACACGATAGAAGAACGAGATCAAAGACAAAATTTTGAAGGTGTTTTGTATTCATTCCATAGCCAGTCATCCAGACTTATGATATCGTCGACTTTATGAATCCGAGGTCGTGTGTGTTCAGGAACCGTGCTCCTGTACGCACGCCAACCACAGTCGCTCCGATGATACCCAACCAAACCAAAATACACCTCGCAAAGATTCCTTTGGCGACCTTCTCAGCTTCTTCAGCATCGTTCAACCGTGGGAATGGCTCCCCTGGTACTGGTTTTTCCAAGAAGCTGCAAAGCGGCTGCCATCCCTCCTTGAGGCTCATGACCAAAAGTCGCTCAGCCGGGACGACCCGCTTGACCATTTCATTGTGAACTTCAATGAGATCTAGTCCAACCGCAAATAGTCAGTTAAAACCGGGAAGTCTGCTCAGACGGTGAATGAAGCGAACCTGGACTTAGTGGAGTCCCTGGCCCGCGGGCCTTCCCCATCTCCCGCAGAGCGATCCTCTGCCAGTGAGCAGCGATACTGGGAAACCATCGAAGCCCAGGCATAGGAGCCGTGAGGACCGGCAAGTACCATGGAAATGCGTATTTGAGGTTGCCTCCAATGCTTGTCCACCACCGATCGGGGTCTCGCGTGACAAGGACCACCTTCGCCTCCGGGTACAACTCGATGAGCTCGGGGATGAAATCAAAGTTGGGCGTGTCGGTCACGCCGACGAAGCCGGTCGTCAATTCCCGCAGCAGCTTCATTGTTTTCTCCTTGTCGCCGGCTTCCCGTGCCTCGTACGCGCCGACCCATTTCTTCGCGAATGCTGCACCTGGTCAGTTGCGCCTGCTTTTCATCTAGCCATTGACTTGTGATACACTCACCGTCCTCGCGCCATAATATGTGTGTTCCGCCATGCATTACAGGCCCTTGCAGCACCTTCTCGAGAGCCAGTTGCATCGATGCCGTTCCTGTCCTCGAGTAGCCTGCGCCAATGACCTGGAGCTGCGTAGCGGCATCGCCCGGTTTGGAGGGAACACCACCCATCTTAGGGGTCGCTCGGTATCTTCACTAAATGACAAGGTGAAAACTGTCCCCCTTGAGTGGCTGTGAAAGAAAAGATGGCTGGTCTCTAGATTTAATACAATCTGCTTGGGGAATAAACACGTGTGTTTTATTTCGCGGTACCAGGGCTCTGCAGATAGGGGGCAACAAAAATCGCGTGTTTGGGCAAGCGGGAAAAGTTCAGGCTGGAGAGTGGATCTCTTATGGACGTTGGTCACTTTTGCGAATTGGCCCTGCAGGCTTGGAAGGTTGAGAACCAGGCAAGAAAATGTGATAGATTCGTTGGTGGGCCACCTCGGCTGACTTCAAAATACCGAAACCGCCACATTAAAGTTCGTAATCACATGCGCAGTAAACAACAACAACTGCAACAGCAGTCGCGACTCAGACAGCTGAAGTTGGGTCGGATATTTCTCCACGACACCTCAATACCCCCATTGAGCCTCTGTCGCACTTCAACCAGTTGCGAGAAGACAATATGCCAGAAAGTATTCTTAGCGACGAACTGACTGCTTTCCCCGACGAAAGTGACGCCGAGGAAGCGAGGTACGCCAATAACTGGAAGCAAAGTCCACATCCCAATTCGAGAGGACTGTTGGCTGACTTCTGGTCCGTTTGCAAGAGATGACGAGGCAATGCCGGATCTGTACTACTATGTTGGAACGGACGGCCGAACGTACCAAGGCTACATGCCAGGAGGTCAGTTAATACCCTCCAATTGTAAGATTATACTGACAGGAGCGTGAACAGAGTATCTGCTGCCGAACGACAGTGTAAGTCCCAATTCCAGTTGCTTCCAGCCTATTGGCGATATATTGGCTGAACAAGTCCACGCAAGGCCGAACAAGATCGACTGGGTACGTCTTTGTGTGGCCGTCTATGCTCTCGCTGATGTAGCCGAATCAAGACTGACAATCCCATGCGCAGACTTCTCACACGAGATTTACCGCCTCATCCTGGATAATAAATTGGCTGAGGCCCCAATACGATCACCGGAGTACGCTCTTGACAGTGAGTCCCGTTGATTCCGAAGGATCCGACTGAGGCCTGATAAGTAACGCATACGACAGTCGGGACAGGAACAGGTATATGGGCTCTACAATTTGGTACGTGCGGAGTGGATAGTCGTCACCATCAAAAGCGTCCCTGTCATGACTAATGTATAATACAGCTGAAGATAACCCAACTTGCCATGTCATCGGAACAGACTTAAGCTCCATTCAACCTTTGTCTTGGATGCCAAATTGCCAATTCGTCCAAGAGAACTCGGAGCTGCAGGAATGGGTGTTCCCCAACAAGTTCGACTATATCCACCTACGCGGGACGATAGCATGTTTCAACGACGTGACAACAGTAATGAGAAAGGCGTTCGATGGCCTCGCGCTCGGCGGGTGGATCGAGTTCCAGGATGCCTGCTTCGAGATACAAGGCCTTGAGAGCGGTAAATTTCACGGCACGGCGATGGAGCGCTGGAGCAGGCTCGTGCCAAAAGGAGCAGCGGCTCTTGGTCGCAACCTGGCGAAGGCTAAGCTATACAAAACGCAGCTGGAAAATGTGGGTTTTGTAGACGTGCATGAGAGGGTTATCCACGTCCCTGGTGGGCCCTGGCCCTCGGGGGACAAGGCGAAGCTTATCGGTGTCTACACGGCCAATGCGTTCCACACTGGCGTGGTGGATAGCTTCAAGAACTTCCTCCTTGCTGCGGGCGAGATGTCCTCTGCTGAGGTGGACAGTCTGACCACCCAGGTCAAGAAGGACATCCGGGATGCCAGTATCAGATGGTATATTCCAATGTGAGTGTGATAGACTACGAAAATGAGTATACATACTGACGGATTCGCAGGTACGTCGTGTACGGAAGAAAACCGTATAATGGGGAGGCAGAAGAGTAATTACTGTCTTCGCGTTTGGGGGGAAAAAAAAGGATCATGTGGGGATGGTGGACTCAAAAGGCAGCATTAGAATGACCACAGCAGGAACAGGAAAAGGAAATGGACAGATTGGATGAAACACGCAAAAGGTCACAGTAAGGTAATTGAGTATATCATCCAATGGGATATTGCATGAACATGGGAACAGACACAAGTTCGTCTGAATGAAACACATGATACTGTAAAAGAAAGGTGACATGTTTGAAGCAGCGCACAGATCAAGTCCGCCGGTATCATCAATTCTAATGCTAGATCTACTCTAGATCATAAGTCTATTGTCATGAATCTTGACGCAGTCAATACCGAGACGTGTCTCGGTAGTTCACCCCGGATGTGCCCATCACATCGAAGAACCCCAGAAACGCCAGTAACCCAGTCTATGTGAGGAAGAAAGGAAAAGGAAAGAAAAAAACAAACAAGAAACGCTTGCTAGCAATGCATAGCTGCTTTTGGACTCTTTAAACGACGACGGCGTGGGACTCGTCCGAGTGCAGGGGGTTGATGCTCTCGTCGAAGCTCATCTTGAAGTCCTGGCCGAGCTCCTTGCGCAGGGCGGTCTGGACGGCCTCGAGGACGTTGGGGAAGACGCCGAAGTTGGCCGGGTTGTTCTCGTCGTTGTCGCCGCCCTGGAAGACACCGGTGCGCACCAGGCACGTGTTCCAGCCGTACATGTTGCCGCCGATGATGTCCGAGGCCGGGTTGTCGCCGACCATGTAGATGTTCTCGGGCAGCCTCTCCTCGCCGTGCAGCTCGTCCATCCAGCTGGCCATGACCTCGTCGGCGTACTTGTACGTGGCCAGCTCGGGCTTGCCGTAGACGACACGCTCCAGGTCGACGCCGGTCAGGGCGCGGTACATGGCCTCGAGGCCGATGCGGAAGGCGCCCTGGGACATGCGGGGGGTGGGGTGCTCCGTGGGGCACAGCAGGTCGCCCTGGGAGAAGTAGATGGGGATGCGCTGCGACACGGGGTCCTTGGCCCGCGTGTGGAGGCGGCCGTTCTCGGACTGCAGCAGGTCCATGATGATCTGCATGTCGGTCGCGTAGTCGCGGCTGTCGCTGAAGACGAGGATGGCCTCGATGTTGACCTTGGAGAAGTCCCGGGGGCGCGAGGTGGCCCGCTCGGCGTCGGTGAAGACCCGGTAGGGGGCGATGGTCGGGTCCCAGGCGACAATGTCGTTGGGCACGACGATGTCCTTGAAGCCGTACTGCTCCGCGACCTCCCGGCACTTGTAGCCCTCGCCACCGACGACGATGACGGTCTTGTAGTACTCGGACAGGGCGGACATGGGTGTGTGGGATTGGATGAACTGGTCGGTGTGGACGGGCTGGCCCAGGATGCTGCTGAGCTGCTCGCAACGGGCCAGCTCGGGCTTTCCAGAACCGTTGGTGAGGCTGTGTCACGATGTTAGCAAGCTGCGCCAAGACGAAGAGGATGCTCGAGGCGCCCAACGTGGGGCGTAAACACTTACAAGATGTGAGGGATCTTGATGCCGAGCTCGTTCTCGCCGTTGAGGATCTCCAGAGCCTTGCGGCCCTCTGGGATCAGACGGTCACCGTGGACAAGGACACCGTCGATGTCGAAGGCAAAGGCCATGTTCTTGGCCTTCTTGACCTTCTCGGTCTCGATGGTCTGGACCTGGGATGCCAGCAGCGCACGAGTGGGCTGGATTGGTGGCATGCCAGGCCGGGTTGGCCGGCCGGTGACAGCATCGCGGTCAGGGTAGTGCACCGAGGACAGACGAGACTGGCGGGACTGCCTCCTGGGGATGGGCAGGGAGGCGCCAAAGGAGTTGCGAGATCCCCTGCGGTCCTTCATGGAGGGCACGACGCTGAGGTTGTGCATGTACTTTGCGGCCTCAGACACCGAGGACCGCGTAGCTGGCACCTCGATAGGGCCATCCTCATCAGGGATTGGGATGGCGGCCTTGTTCTCAGCCTTCTGGCCGTTCTGGGTGCCGTTGGTGGCCTGCTCGGGGTCCTGGACGCCAGGCATGATGGGAGCTGTGCAAGGAGGAAAGGGGGGGGGGTATCAAAAAGGAAGATGAGGTCTTGAGGTTGGCGTCTTGGGGATGGCTTCCGGAGCTTCTGTCACATCAAGCAGAAAGATAAGAGAGGGCAGACAGGTTTCACGAGTATCAAGATCACCTCACCCTCTGGAAGTGGGTTCGTCGAGCGCTTATATGCTCTGCCAGGAGCTTGCTTGAGCCTGCCTGAGCCTGATTCTCCCGAGAGCCGACTCTACAGGACGGCCAACTTTGGCAGAGCTGTCTGCTCGCATTGTGGTACTGTGTGTGCCTAAGCTTATCCCGGCAGGGGTTTCTGGTTCGCGCCTCGCGAAGGAGAAGCTGTTGAGATGATCTCATTCATGCGGGCGGCTGAAGGGGAGGAAGTACAGTCTACCTCTCGCCCACGGTCCGGGAGCGGGTCTCGATGGCGGGACGGTGGGATGCTCTGATGTCGTCAGTACCTACTGTCAGGTCCACGCATGTACCGCGCATCTCTAACAGCCATGTGTTTGCTGGAGGACATGAAGAATGGAGACAGTCCTCCACAGTACGTAAGGGTATGGGACGAAGAAGAATGGATACCCTGACTCGAAGAGGACGTCATCGCGCCACAATTGTCGCGATAAATTCCCGCGACGAGAAGTATCCACAGATTAGAATATAGCACGGCTAGCACAGGCAACAGAGCAGGTGTGTATGCTGTAGGCTGGCTATCAGTTGCCAGGCGGAGAGCGTGGGACGGCAGAGACAGACAGAGATGAGGTGAAAATGCCCTGTTCCGAAACGCACCGTGCCTGGCTCGTGCGACGCGTGTGTGCGCGGCGAGATTAAGGAAGAAACTGTAAAGAACCTTCTAAAGCTTATCTAGGGGGATCGTCCCGAAATCCGCGGTACTTGGTGAGTGGCTGGTGGCAAGGTACTCTACTGCACTACAGACAGTATACCTAGGTAGTATGCAGACAACTTGACGTCCCTGGATTCAGTCAGTCAGTAGGTTTTGTTAGTGTTCTCCAAAGAGCCGTGCAGAGCCGCCCGCCATCTCCTCTGCTGTAGCTGTGGTTGGCTGTTGAAGCTGCGAGTGCCCTGAGCCAATGAACCGAGCCAAACCGTTTGGAGCTTTGCCGAGCTGGAATCCTAGCGCATTAGGGGGCCCTGGCAGGCGTGGCTACCCTGCCGAGCCTGCTACCCTTAGAGCCTTGGTAGGGGGGACATGATTCCTCCAGGGAACACGAACCCGGAAAAGGGCCGTGAGGTCCCACCGAGAACCCTCCGCGCTCCCTCCGCCTCCTTGCAGCGCTGCGGAGCCGCAGATGGGCTAGATGATGTCACAAAACCGGGCCTGCAGCGAAATCTCTTCCGATCTGTTCGGCAGGATCCATAAAAGTCCCAGATATCTGGCAGTGAGATCCATGATCGTCGCCCCGAGTTTGGCTAACCGCTTCTCAACCCCTCGTGCCCCTCAGACAGACAAGACAGCTCGCTGGAGACGCTACCAAGGACACCAAGGACGCACGATGCACTACCGACGTGACTGCGGTGTGTCTGCACGCGGTACGCGACCACATTGCGGTACATACCTGACTCTACTGCGCCCGCGTGCCTGGCTAGCCTGGCTGCCCTCCTGATCCCGCCGAGACTGCCGAGCCTATCCCTGGACGACCGCACAGGGACCAAACGCCCGCCCTTGGTCCATCCTTGCGACACGTTGGACCCTTTCACATGCTCGACGTCGAAGTGACTCAAGCACAACCCAACTGAAACCACCATTTCGTAAGGTGGACCCACGACAATATCCACTTGGACTCGCCGACCGCCCAGGAGACGGTGCGAGCCCTAGCAAAAATTAGCAGCAACGGCAATAAATCAGCCGCCCGTGGCGACTGACGACTCGTACAATGCGAATGACCTGGCACTGTACTGTGCTGTCATGTCCCTCCCCCTCGTGCCCCTCCAAGAATAGGCACTGGCCGTTCTGTTGGGAGGGATGATGCAATCATGTTCCCAGCCCGGCCTTATCAATGCTGTGCTCTCGTTAGAGTTCCGAGGAAACCTTGGTCGTCGATGTTGCGCTGCCAGTTTCTAAGTTGGACATCACATCCCGTCAACACGCAGACCGACTTTTTGAATTCACGGATCGACGATCCAAGAGAGTGACAGGTTATCAAGGTACGCCCTCGCTGCCTCCTGCGTGCCTCCTGCGCATCTGCATGTGACAGCGCATACATACTTACACTTTTAGACAGCAACCATTCCTATTCCGCCATCGCACAATAGCAGAGCAAATCATAGCAAAATGGCACCACAATTCGAGTTCACCCTGAACAACGGCGTCAAGATCCCCGGCCTGGGTTTCGGCACATTCGCCAGCGAGGGCTCAGAGGGCGAGAGCTACAGGGCCACCAAGAAGGCCCTCGAGGTCGGCTACCGGCACCTGGACTGCGCCTGGTTCTACCAGAACGAGGGCGAGGTCGGCCAGGCCATCCGCGACTTCCTCAAGGAGAACCACGACGTCAAGCGTGAGGACATCTTCGTCTGCACCAAGGTCTGGAACCACCTGCACAAGCCAGAGGACGTCAAGTGGTCCTTCAACGACTCCCTCAAGAAGCTTGGCCTCGACTACGTCGACCTCTACCTCGTCCACTGGCCCATCGCCGCGGAGAGGACCGACGACTACCAGCCAAGGCTTGGACCCGACGGAAAGTACATCATCAACAAGGAGCTCACAGAGAACCCCGAGCCGACGTGGCGCGCCATGGAGGAGCTGGCAGAGTCCGGCAAGGCCCGCGCCATCGGCGTCTCTAACTGGACCATCAAGGACCTGAAGAAGCTCTTCTCGTTCGCCAAGATCAAGCCGACCGTCAACCAGATCGAGATCCACCCCTTCCTGCCCAACGAGGAGCTCGTCAAGTTCTGCATCGAGAACAACGTCCTGCCCGAGGCGTACTCACCCCTGGGCTCCCAGGACCAGGTCCCGACCACCGGCGAGAAGGTGCGCACCAACAAGACGCTCAACGAGGTCGCCGACCGCAGCAAGCACACCCTGGCGCAGGTCCTGCTGGCCTGGGGCCTGAGGAGGGGCTACGCCGTGCTGCCCAAGAGCTCGACCCCCCACCGGATCGAGAGCAACTTCGAGGTGCCCAAGCTGTCGGACGAGGACTTCGAGGCCGTCAACCAAGTGGCCAAGGGCCGCCACACGCGCTTCGTCAACATGAAGGACACCTTCGGCTACAACGTCTGGCCCGAGGAGTCCGTCGAGAACGGCACCGCCGTTGCCTGAGAAGTCATTACGCTTATCAAGTGGTACCACCGGGCCATGGCTTGGATGCTTCTGAGGAGGCTTGGCGAGTAGAGCAACACGGAAGTGACTGGAGATACCCAAACGACGAGAGCGAGCGAGGTTTTGAAATTTACGACAAAAAGAATACACAGCACTGAATGAGAGACGATAGACCCGACCATGATAGATCGACCATGATAGACCAATAGACCGGTTCGCCCTCGATACTGCTTCTGTTGCAGTAGATAGGTACCGCAATTGCACGGCAATTGCGGCGTCGCTTTTGTTCCACAGCTTCATGCTTACCTGGCTGAGTGACTGCTACCCGGCGCGTCGTCGTCCCCGCATCCGGTCGACTAACTATACGGATCTGTCATCCACGTGAAACGCATACTCTTCCTCAACCCCGGATTCGCGTATAGACCGGATAAGACCGACTGTAACGCAGATCGAGCTGCGAGGCCATCAATTGCGGGGAAGCAGTGGGATGTTCGTGCTTGCGCTCTTGTCTTGGGCCGTGTATTATTCAACCGTACCGACTGTGACGAGAATAGAGCACTCTTTCACGAAGAGGGCTTCATGCAGCAATTCGCACCTACGCAGCCACGCATGATATGGTGCTGATTCTATCAACCCCATACCCGAGGCGCTGAGCCGATCCCATGCCCCACTTCCGAGCACTAGGCTTGAATTTGGCCAGGCTCGCCAAACATCCTAACGGTCGGCCGCCCTGGAGTTGAAGCTAGTAACAGCACTACCGACGGTGGTGCCCAGACCGAGTGTCAGCACTGCCAAGGTGAGGCCAGGGGTGGTTACAACGGATCAAGCATAAGAAGTCATGCCCTCCTTCCACTGAGGGGTAACGAGAGCATGAGAGAGTGAACTTTCACAGCGACATCTCATTTCTTGTCTATCACCACCTGATTGTGCCAACCCTGACTCGGTGGAATACAACCCTCGCCGCGCAGAACCCCCTTGCAAATTGGATCACACGGCACACAAGAGAATTTATCCTCCGCACAGGCCTGCGAAGATCGTCCTTTTCGAAAAGCAGCAGGACCAATTCGGTGATGATGACGTCGCGCACGACCTTCGTCCTGGTCCCCGGCGCGTGGCACCCGGCGTCTGCCCTGGACCCCATCGCGAAGCCGCTCAGCGCCGCTGGGTACACGGTGAGGGGAGTCGACCTCCCGACCTGTGGTGCGGAGCCGCCCTTGAGCGAGTTCGGGCCGGACGTCGAGGCGATCAGCAAGACGATCGCGGAGGAGGCCGACAGGGGCCAGGACGTGGTCGTGTTCATGCACAGCTATGGCGGCATCGTGGGGACCGAGGCTTGTCGTGGCCTGGGAAAGAAGGAGAGGGAGTCCGCTGGGAAGAAGGGCGGCGTGGTCAGGCTGATCTACTGCACTGCCTTTCTGGTGGGCGAGGGTGGGTAATCTGCGACTGGGAGAGAGATGATGGGTATCATGCTAACCTAGCCACGATCTTCAGGAGTGTCTTTGATGGACATACTCGGCAACAAACCAATGCCGTGGTTCATAATCTCAGACAATGAGACGCGTGTGAAGCCCAACACGCCTGAGGACGTCTTCTACAATGATCTCAGCGCCGACGAGGCGAAGAAGGTCGCCGACACCCTGTCGCACCACAGCTACGAGTGTTTTACCACGAAACTCACGTATGCTGCGTACAAGGACATCCCGGCTACGTATCAGCTCTGTAAGAAAGATAACGCGCTCCCACTCTTCGCGCAGGAGAAGATGGTCGAGGACGCCAGGGCTCTCGGAGTGCAGATCGATACGGAGACGTTCGATGCGTCGCATTCGCCGTTTCTGAGCATGCCGGACGAGGTTGTTGCTTCATGTAAAAGGGCTGCTGCTGGTAGTAAGTCCATGGTGTGAGCTCCGTGCATGACCGGGTGTTGCTTATGAATGATTTTTGCACCCGTTACGAACCTGGTATTTTAACTGCCATCAATACCCGTATTTGTGTGGGGCACAAGTTGGTTCTCGTTACCGACTCAAATGAAATATAACGTGAGCGCGGAAGAGCATCAGCACTTTGTTGAAAGCTTGAAATATTCTTTTTCCAGAGCCAAATTGATCACTATGACGGTGTTAAAATGACTACATGCTGTGTGTTCTTGTTAGGCTTTCCCTACCCGAGAACACTCCTTGCCAGTATGCTTCAGCCCAGCCTAGACTATTGCCTTGCAAACAATCTGCATCCAAAGTCGGTTTGGTTTCCAAATCTGGGTCAGATCGGAGGTATGCCAGTCACTGAAATTGTTACTTGTCAGTCTACAATTGTAGAAAAACCGCTTTTTGTGGAAGAAAAACACAGACGCGTGTCACCCTCATTTCGTATGAGGCGTCCGGTCTCTGCCCTGATTATTTCAGTTTCAGAGAATCCCGTATTTATGTATATCTCTACCTACAAGACAGTTTCTCTAAAAGCCGCAAATCATGAAATATTTGTAAAACAGGTGTATTTTCAGAGCTCCCTCACCCTCGCATTCCGTGCAATCATTACCATCATACCCAGGACGATCATTTCAGAGGATGCTTGATCACCAATTTGCCAAACTTCCCTTGAGCAGCAATTTCTTGAAGTTCCTCCAGCGCATCCTCCGCACTCCCATCAAAGACCTCGACCGCTGGCATGCGGAAACCTTTGCCGTAATGAGCTACAGCCCAATTTACAGCACCCCACGTCTTCCTCCAGTCCTCGCGCCGCGCAGGCACGGTAATCTCCATACCGTTTGCAAAACGCAGAGGCACATCGTGGCGGGTGCAAGCCAGGGGCATCTTTAGGTGAGGCTTGCCTGGCTGGACGACCGTGGATAAAAACACCGTCTCGGGTTCCACCAGCTGCTCGATAATTTCAACTGCTTGGCCGGATCCCGCTACATCTATGGCGTAGGATAGCTTGCCCGCTTTCGAGTCTTGCACCGCCGCCCTGATCTTGCTAGTGACGCCGGGATCTTTGTAGTCAAAGCAGTGCGTCGCGCCGAGGTCTCGGAGCAGCTCATGCCTGGCCGGTGATGCCGTGGCGATGATGGGTGACACACCGCTCGCCCGGGCAAGTTGCACAAGGCAGAGCCCAACGCCCGTTGACCCACCCCACACCAACAGCGGCCCCTGCCTTCCTCCCTGCACCCCACTCTCTCCCGGCGGTGGGGCCTTGAAGAAGCCATACAGAGCATCAGCCGCCGTGCAGGCGACCACACTCAGCGCGGCGGCCTCTTGTGGAGGGAGGCTCTCAGGCACGCTGAACATCATGTCCTCGGGGGAGGCCAGTTGATTCTGGTGGGAGCCATACTTCTGCGACCGCCCTACGCCCGTGGGGGTCATGCCGGCCACCAGCTCGCCGACCGCGAACGTGGCATTACCGGGCCCACCCGGCGGCGAGTTCGGAGTGCGCAGTACGCGGCCGCAGAAATCATATCCCATTACGGTATCCCTGATCCCGAGCCCCGGGGCATGTCTGATGTCGGCCGGGTTGACGCCGGAGTACAGGATTTCGATTAGATACTCGTCGTCTCCCGGAGTAGGCAAGGGAAAGTTTCGGATGACTGATGTCTTGCAGTCATTGTCCACGAATAGGCACGTGTTCTGTTGTTGAGGCATTCTGAGAGTTTAGGAAACGATGATTTTACTTTGATTTAATAGAAATTTCTTTTCTTTAATTCAGCAATTGCTTGAAGCAATGGCTACGAGTTCCTTTTCATAGTCGGATTTACACTAACTAGCCATCGGACTGTCGGAGAACACAGGTCATGCGAGTCCAAACATTTGGGCCGTCGTGAAGTGGAGGCAACTCTTCCGCTGTGTGTGGAAAACGAAAGTATCCCCCCCCCCTGTCATTTTGATTAGCTATCCCCATTTAGCTATGGAAGCGAAATACGCACCAAGATTCTCATGGACACCCTTATCAACATTATTATGTACTTAATTTAGCAAAAAAAAAGTTATTATATAAAGAAATATATATATTTTTAATTTTAATTTAAAATAATTATAACTTATTTAAATTAATAAGAAATTTATTTTAAAAACTTTTAAAAAATAAAAAACTTAATTATTATAATTATATATTTATTTATAATATTAAGTTATTTCCTTTATTAATAAAATATATATTAATTAATTAATAATATTATTATATATAAAAAAGTTAATAATAAAAATAAAGATTATTATTTTTATAAAATAAAAGTTAATAACTTAATTAAAGTTTTTTTAAAATAAATAAATAAATATTTAATATATTATTTAATATATTTTTAAAAATGCTAAAAAAGTTACTTTTAAAGTTATTTTTAATAAAAACAATACTTTAAGTAACTTAAATAAAGCTAAGGATATTTATATTACTTAAAAAATATTAAATATATTTAAATTATTATTATTAATTAGCAATATTAAAAATAACAATATTAAAAAGCTAAAAAGCCTTTTCTTATTAGGGAAATTATTAAAAAAGGCATTTTTAATATTATATATAAAAATTATTAATATAAAAACTTTTTTAATATTATTAATAAAGTAATAAAGCATTAAATTTAATAATAATAAATATAAAGCTTTTAATATTAATTTATTATTTAATAAGCTTTTTTTAAATTAAAGAATTAAGTTAAGATTAAATTAATTAATATAAAAAATATAATAATTAAATTATTATAAATTTTATTAAAAATAAGTTATTAATTATAAATAAAAATATTTTTAATTTAATTAAATATAATAAAGAAAATTAAAAAATATTTAAAATAAAAACTTTTTAATAATAAGATTATAAAAATACTTTTATTAAGCAAAAGTTTTTATTATTTTATAATTATATATATTTATAAAATAATATTTATAATAATATAAATAATGCCTTATAATATTATAATATTAAAGTAATTAAATATTAAGATTTTTAAGCTTTTTTTATTAATAAAGTTAATGCTTAAGTTAATAAATAATTTATTAATAATTAAGTATTAAAAAAATATTTCTTTAATAAAAAAATTATTATTACTTATATAATAATTATAATAAATAATAATTAATTACTTATTTTTAAGGCTTATAAAAAGCTAATATAAATATAATAATGCTTTAAAAATTCTTATTATAAGGTTAATTATTATTATTATAATAAGGGGAACTTTTTATAATAATAATATTATATTAAGAAAAATAATATATATATAAATATTATTAATATTAATTTTAATTTATAAGTATAAATAATAATTAATAATAAAATTATTATTTAAAAGCCTTTAAAAAAGCTTTTAATTAAGTAAATAAATATTATTAAAATTAATAAAAATAATAAAAAACTTAATAATAATAATATTAACTTTATATATAAGTAAAAATAACTTAAAAAAGTAATAAGTAAAGAGAAAATAATATTAATATAATAATTTACTTATTAATTAATACTTATACCCTTAGCTTTATATATAAATACTTAATAATGCCGCTATTAATTTTATTAATACCTTTATTAATATATTTATTAAAAAGCTTTTTAAAAAGTTATTAATATTATTAATATTAATAGTTTTTTATTTAAATAACCTTATATATTATTATTAATTATTTATGCTTTTATTATTATTATTATAAGTATTTAATAATTAAAAAGCTTTTAATAAAAACTTTATATTTAAGGCCTTATAAAAGCATTTTTATATATTAATAAAGAAAAGTGTTGGTTTGGCTTCCGTATGGTTGGTGATAGATAAATAGAGTGTGTAATCGATTCGGCTATATGGTATGGAGGGTAGGTTGCAGCGAAGCTGCAGCCTTCCTTATCTCAGACAGCTCAGATCTCCATTAAACGCTCCAGTTTTTAGGGCCTGAGCTTCCTTATTAATTAAAGTAGCTAGGGTAGCAGTGCAAAATAAGCTTGTTAAGGGTGGGTTTAAACGCGTTTAATGGACATTTAAAACTAAAACGTAAAAAATTTAGAACCTAAGTATGCGTTTATATAGGATAATAATAATGCCCTTTAAACACTCCTTAATTATATATTCTTCCCAACTAATAATTCCAATATAAATAAAATGCTAAATAAGAAAATTAACTAAGCTTTCTTTTCTTATTTTTATTTTTTTAAATTTCCTTTATTTTATAAAATGTAATTATATTAATTAATTAAAGGGACTTAAGTATATAAAGTACCTTTCCTAATTACTCTTATCTTATTCTCTTAATTTTTAAGTAAAAAGAATATAGCTTAAGAAATAATAATTAATAGCTATTTAAAAAACTTAAAAAGATACTTATATAAGTTAAGAAAAATTTATTAAAAAGTATAAAAAGTTAAAAAAAGGCTTTATTATTAAGGATAAGCAAAGAAATTAAGGGCGTATCTTAATCCTTATATAAGCAGTATTTTAAATACAAATTACCTTAGCTATGAAGCTGGCCCGTTTTCCCTAGCTACACCTTATATAAGCATAGATTCTAAGCCTAACTCAGCTTTGCAGCCAAGGTGGTCTGTGAGTTAGAGATAAAGCCTTCCCCCGTCTGGCTATAGGCTAGCTATGGTGGTCCGTGCGCGGGGCACGTAACCGCCAGCTGGCAGCCGGCTGGCACCGGCTGGCAGCTGCTATCGATAAGACTAGTCTAGTCCTTGCACCTCCAAATCTGTGCATTGCCTGCAGCGCACCCACTGCGTGGGCCCGCTGCACGTAATGCCCATACGTATTATTCCCATAAAAAGATAATTAATAAAATTATAAATAATAATAAAGCATAATATTAATTTCCAAGCTTTATACTTAAAAAAGGATATTTAATTTAATAAAAAAAGCTTAAGTAATATTAAATTAATTAAAAGGCTTGTAAAGCTATATTTAAAGGGAAAAAAACCCTTTTTAAGCTTTTTAAAAATAATAAAAAGGAAAACTTGCTGCTGTTATTAATGTTAATATAAAATAAAAATTATAATTTTTAATAAATAAGAAAATTATTAATATTAATATGGTTTATTAATAAGTGGTGGATATTAATAAGTAGCGGATTTTCGTAACTTTACTTAACTTTAGCTAATATTAATACTATCTTAAGGCTAATAAATAAATAAAAAGTTAACATTAATTAATACCAACTGCTTTTAATTCCTTATTTTTAATTAATTCAATTAATTTAAAGTAATTAATATAAGTATAATGCAAGTTTAAGATAAGCAACTTTTAATAGGAAATCCGCATTTTGCATTAAATAATGCCAACTATATTATTAAAAACGCGGTTTGCTGCAAACCATTAAAATAAATATATTTGCACCATTTAATGCTAATTAAGCTAGATTTGCTATAATATAATTAAAATTTAATTAACTCAACCCTTCTTTATCTTTCTTATAAGTTTTTGCATTATGCCTAATCTCGCTATTATTATTATATTATTATTTAATTAATTCACCGCGAATCGCCTCCTTAGCACTATTACTTATTTTACCAGCCGGCCGCTTCCTTTTTTATTTCTCTTAAATAAGAGCTTAAGATTCCTTAATAATAAGTATTTCTTTAAGCTATACTTAAATTCTTTTAACCCTTTAGCATTTAGTAAATGCTATATTAATATCCTTAAAAATATAAACTTAATTTTTTAAAATAATAAGTTTATATATTATTATTTATATACTCTTTGCTATTTAATTAATAACCTTTATAATTAATATAAAGAAGCTCCCTTAATAAGCAAAGATCTTATTTTTAATAAAGCTTAATTACTTAATAATTTATTAAGCATTAAATGATATTTAAAACTCTTAATGCTAAGGAAAAATAGGAAGGGTTTGCATAGGAGTTTATAAGCATACATTAAGCCTAAAAATAATAAGATTTAAGTTTTAAGGTAAGATTTTAACTCCTTTAAATACCACCTTAATATTATCCTTCCTAAAGATCTTATTATAAGCTGCTATAAACGCAAATGTAATGGGCTTAAGCTATTGCCCAAGCCTTATATAGTATGGCTAGATAATTTAAGGGAGCTTGAATTATTACGTACCTTTTGGCTTAATTAATTGCTGCTTTTACAGCTTATGGAAAAAGGCGCTAGCCAGCCTACAGCCCCTTTAAGGCCAGCCTATAATAAATAATCCAAGCTTTAAAGTTAAGAGTTTAAGTTATGGTTTTACCTAACCATAAAGAAGATCTTTAGCCTAAAAAGGCGATGTCGCGGGTAAGCCTTAAGGGTAGTTATTAAAGTTGTAATAATATCTATGTATTTTGTATTTAAAAATACAAAATACATAAATACATATATTTATATTTATATTTAAATACTGTATTTATATTTATATTTATATTTATATAAGCTTTGTATTTTATATTTATATTTATATTTATATTTATATTTATATTTATATTTTTAAAATTTTAAATCTATATTTTATATTTAAAATATAAAATACAAATATAAATATAAGTTATATAATATTTAATTTAAATTTTATTATTTTAAAAAAGAAAGAAATTTTAATTACATTTTATTTAATTTAAGCACTTTAAATATATTTTTATTTTATTTATATTTAAATTTATTAAAAAGCTATAAATACTTTATATTTAAGGGGAAAAAAACTTAAATAAGATAAGACTTAGATAAGAA